TCTGACCCATTACTATCCGGAGTTGTTGTTGTATCCATTGCCGGTGGCTACAATGATTATCAGGTCTGACAATATCCACAAGTAATTTGGTTTTTTCTGTTGCTTGCTCCATTCCTTATGCCGTGGTGTTTTCTTTGATTGTATTAGAGTTCTAGTAGGATGAGATTTGATTGTTTTCTCAACGCTTAAGATTTTTCCTTTGGCCTTAGGTGCGATCAAAGTTAGAGTCACTTGATGGCATTGTCCCTTCAAGTCACGGCTTTATGATAAGTAGTACGAGTATGAAAAACGTGTGGCTGTCAATGGAACATCAAGCAATACTGTGGTGTAACCAATTGGTTGTTCAAGTAGGTAAACAAATCTTAGTTTGTACTTGAAAATGCCCTGTTCGATGAATTTGAAGATTCACGTGTCATGCAGGTTTCACATACGCTTCTTAGTTTGGTGGACTCGAAAACTAGTCAGCCATTTTCTGATACTCAAAAGAGAATTCGGGTTTTGACCAGAATGCTTCAGAGTGCATTAGCACAAAGTTTCAATGGAATGACGCCCATGAAAGTCTCTCATGAGGTGCCCATGTTGGTCACAAAGGGTATTAATACCATCTCTATGCATATCTTGTTTTCTCAGAATAGAAGTCCTCAAAGAAAGAATATAGATTTCTTTTGTATTGAAGTTATAAACTTGTCTGATCCTGGGGGTTATTAGCCTCTATCAGCTAACATTGTCAACTAATACAAACATACAAAGCTAGAGGTATCTTATTCATGAAACGATTTTGGCGGCAATTAGTAATTAAGAGAACAATCTCATTAGGTGTTGATATTTATTGTAGGGCATGTTATTCTCTTGCATTCGCATAACACTGTGCTTTGTATCTTTCCAGGCTTTGAATCACAAATTTCTACCTGTGCCTTGAATTGGAGGGATGATGCTCTCGATAGGGATCTGTACATACAAACAAGTACTGTTACAATTTTGGCAATGGACGGGAGAAGGCGCTGGATGGACATAGAATTATTGGTCTGTGCTGATAGGATTCACTTAGGGATGCTATTTCAGACTTTTATATCACTTAAGATGTCAGTATTAATCTCCCATTACACATTTTCTGTGTTATAGGGGTCTAATGGAAAGAAACACTTTATCTTTGTTACAAATCTGGCGCCTTGTTCTGGAGTAAGAATCCATCTATGGCCTGAGAAGGGGAAATCAAATTCAGATTTACCTGTTTCTGAAAGGGTTCTGGAAGTTACGTCAAAGATGGTTCTCATTCCGGCAGGCCCCGCACCAAAACAGGTGATATATACTGGATTCTCTTATGCCAAATAAATTTTAGGGATCAGTTACAACAATGCTGGCATTTGTTTCCTGTAAAACACACTCGACGTTTACTTTCTGTGCGCATTGTTTTCACATTTTCATAAGATGATAAGATAAGCATTTTCATTAACTAGATGTATATGTTTGTTAGTCGGAACCAGGGAGTCAGACCGAGCAAGCTCCCCCATCTGCAGTTTTAAGGCTAGGGCCTGAAGACATGGATGGATTCAGATTCTTGACTATCTCAGTGGCGCCTCGTGAAGTATTTTCTCAGCTCGATACCTTTGCTTTCTTTCACATTTCAGCAGTTTTCAGATGACTAGAACCGTGACTGAATGATACCTTCTCATGCGCAGGCAGTTTCCGGTAAACCTCCTGTGGCGGTTTCTATGGCAGTAGGACAGTTCTTTAATCCTGAAGAAGGGACCATGGAGGTCTCATCTCAATCAATGCTCTTATCCACATACTGGGCAAAGGTTATTATTCTTAAAAGTGGCCACACTCTTCCATTGCATCTCCAGTGTTTTGAAATTACGATAGTGAAACCGTTGGTTAACTAATTTCAGTTGTGGATTACTTTTCTGCAGGAGATATTTTTGAAGGAGGACCATCCTCTAGCTTACAATCTATCGTTTGCTATCAGCTTAGGTCTACTGCCCATAACACTTTCCCTGAAAACTGCTGGATGTGGAATTAAAACTTTTGGTCTACCAGATGGCGAGACAGGAGACTTGAACAAGGATAGTAAGAATTCAAAACCCTCTTCTGAATCCTACAGATCTTTCTTTTGATAGTTTTGTACTTATAGTTTTGGCTGTTAATCTTCTGGTTAGCATCTGCCTAGATTTACAGTTCTGTTGATTTAATGCATTCGTCTTCAGCTTATTTACCCAACATTGTTTAAATTTCAGAGCTTTGCAAATTGCGTTGTTTCCCACCTGTTGCTCTTGCCTGGGATTCTTCTTCTGGGCTTCACGTTTTTCCAAACCTCTACAGTGAGACGATAGTTATTGATTCTTCACCAGCACTTTGGAGTTCTCAGAGTTCTGAGAAAACTACTATTATGCTACTGGTCAGAAGCCTCTTACACAAAGCTAGTCTCTGTTATTCTCATTGAAATAGAAAAATCAAGTGTTTATTCTCTTTCCTGGCCCTTCTGCAGGTTGACCCTCATTGCTCATACACCGCAAGCGTTCATGTCTCTTCCTCTGGCATGTCCACCAGATTTGTACTTCTATATGGTCCGCAGGTAGCTTTATCTCTAATCTCTGTGTACTGATTATGCATGTTATAGTAGCGTGCTTCATATAACTATTGCCTCAAGATTTCCTGTCTAAACTATACAACCTTTTGTTTTCTGGATACGAGGTATCTCACTAATTTATGAGTGACTGAACCTTTATTCACGTGACATCTAATATTGCAGATAGTTGGCTTCGCATTTGCTGTTATATTGTTTGCTCTTATGCGGCAAGCTAATCAATGGGACCACAAATTATCTGTGCCACCATTGCTCTCCGCTATAGAGTACAACTTAGAAATGCCATCTCCATTTCTGCTTCTAGCTGCTTTCCCTCTTCTATGTTCCTTGTTCTTCTCTTTCCTTATGGCTCAGCCAATCCCTCCCCTCGCGAGCTTCACAGTGGTCTCGTTGATCTGTTATTTGTTGGCAAATGCCTTCATCATTGTGCTAATTATTGTCTCCAAATTTGCCTTCCAAGTGTCGGCCCTCGTCCACACCACTGTGAGATCAAGGTAAGTGGCTGACTTTCCTCACCTTTCTTTGGTTCAATGTAAAATTACCCAACTCTGTCCAGAAATAACTGAATCAGTGCCAATGTGTAGCAGGTGCCAAGCTTTGGAAAGAAATTATTCTCATGCTTTCCTACATTGGTTCTCCATGCTTGCTTCCAGTTTCGTCTGTTTAAAGGTTTGCTTTTCACTTCTGTGCTTTACCTAAAACCATCTAACATTAACCGCATGCCAATAGCTTCATCTCTTCCCGATCCCTTGCTTAACATGAAAACCATATGCTCTTAGTTTAGCATCTTCTCTTGGCTAAGTTTTATCGTCAGAATTAGTTTGTGAGATTCTGTTCTTGAAGCAGGCAATCCGAATTCTGAAGCTCAACACAACAATTGTAATGACACTAGTCGCGGTTACCTTGGTGTCCTTTGTTCATCCGGCTTTGGGTCTTTTCGTACTCCTCGTGTCTCATGCCCTTTGTTGCCATAACTCCATGTGCTGGTAAGAAGTAGGCTTGCGTCTTTTCAGATCTTGTCATGTGTGACAGGATGATGCCACAAATGTACGCGAAAAATATTGATTTTACCCTTAAAGAACCAATACCTGATCCTGAAAGGCAAAAGTTGAAACTCAAATTACTATGAAGAAAATTATGAATCAGAAAATCAGTAAGCAATCATAGCTAATAGTTGTTTTCATTTTTGTTTTTCATGGAAGTATCATGATGGCATCGTGGCGAAAGGAATCAGTCGATCAGAAAAATGAAGCTGAGCGTAAAACTCGACATCCCTCAAGCAAACAAGAACCCTTATCAGGAGACTTGTCTGAAAAGTCATTTGTTGAGACACAAGCAGACATCTTCAACCATAGGCACGGTTTACTTATATTGCATCTCCTTGCATCTCTGATGTTCGTACCGTCTCTTGGCGCTTGGTTTCAGGTACTCTTTTCATGTTCACAATAGAGCTTTCTTAGATTCCTTACTGATGACTCTTATTCAACAAGTAAAAATGGTTTATTTCATGGTTTTGTGGCCTTCAAACATATGGCAATACCTGATAAATGAGATTGATCATATTCTAGTGGCATCTTTCTTGTAGCGGATTGGAACGGGACAAAGCTTCCCTTGGTTTGCTGACTCGGCTCTCTGTGTTGGCGTAATCTTCCACGGAATACTGAACTCAAGACCCGAGTCAAGCATCTTACGCTCTTTCCCGTCTCTCTCGGGACACCAACTCCGTCCCCATCACATCTATCTCCTCGCCGGCTACTACTGCTTCTTCTCGGGACTAGACTTGGCTCCATACAAAGTATTCTACGCCATAGCTGCTTTAGGCTACATCTCTTTGACTCTTAAGATCTCACAGTTGAACAACGACGACCTTCGTTTCCGTACCAAAAGCAGAATACACAGAAACTGAGTTTTCACAGTTGAATGATAGAATGAATATTCAGCTGGCAGGTCTTGACCGCTGCATGAGTGGAAAATCGCGACGCGACCCTAAACGCCCGAATGAATGACCGAGATTTATTTTCAATCGGCCAGGTGGGTCAATTAAGGATTTTAGAAATGAAGTCAGGAGAAGCGTTTTGTTGCGGTTTCAAACTCTTCAAGAAGAACATATATTAGATCATCTGGTTTCATTGTTTTGCACCGTGATTATTTGTCTTATGTTGTTTTGGTATTTCTCTCTTTGTTTATGGTTACAAAGGGCTCGATTGCTCGAACCAGACTACTATGATAATTTTGTATGATTTGGTTTAGGTAAACTAGTCGAGCGATTAGATTCCTTTTTTTTTGGTCGAACAATATAATATTATACGGGTTTGAATCCGAGTGATGGTACATGATAGCACAAACCATTAAGTTCAGGCACAAGAGAAAAAATGAAAACAGTAAGAAATGTAATTTTAGAAAACAAAACAATGAGTCAGTGGATGAAACAAGCCACCAGAGCCAGGAAGGCTACGGCGAAACTGGTGAAGATATCGGTGGCCGGAATGACGGCAGAGTTTGGTGTCTTTGCACTGGTGCTGTCGTAGTCGTATTGAGCCGAGGCCATCATAATCAACAATGCCAACACAAGACAAGCCAAAGTCATCTGAACAAAAATCTTCATCATTTTGTTCGGCGTTGTGTTTTTAAATTAAGGTTGATGAATGAGAGAAAATTTTGAAGTGTAGAAACAGATTGTTGAAAGTTTTGTTTGTTTATATAGAGAGAATTAGAAACCATTACCGTGAGTACCAGATTTTGTGATTTATTTTAATTATTTTGTACTCTCTTTCTGTTTGCCGGCTTAATCAAGAAAGCGATTCTTGATTATATTCGATTCTGACAGGATGTTCGTACTAAAAACAATTAAATTTTAATATAATAATTTCGAAGAATGACATAATATATGTAAAAAAAGACATTTTTTTAACATACTTTGATCACGATCCAGGTTCTAAAAATTTAAGATTTTACCGTCCAAACAAGGATTAGAACGACTATCAGATCTCAAATAATAGTTTCTTTAAACAAATGTAAAATTTTCAACTAATTCTAAGGATCTCTCAATTCCTCACATTCACATTAGTTTAAAGGAAAAAAAAAACAGTTGTAATCTTTCTTTTAAAATCGAAGGAGCTATCATCATCAATTAGGCAATATTTTTTGTTGCACATTAGAGTTTGGATTTAAAAACGCCAAAACAAAGTCAAATTTTTAATTAGATTTGGAAGTTTTGAAAANGATTCATAGTTCATGGTGGACAATGAAGGGGAATAGGGAAGTCATAACTTGATCAAGTTATTATCGAAATTATAGTTTCTTATCAAAATATCATCATTTCAACTCTTTCTTTTTTTATATATCACAACTATAAATTTCTAATACAAACAATTGAATCTGATAATTCCTGTAATTTATGAATAAATAGAAATGTGCTAGATAGTTTAGAAAAATATCATTTGAATATCAGTTGATGATAGTCTACGAGAAACTATAATTTTCATGATTATATATACACGTACGTACCAGAATTTCAATAATTTGATAACAGTATACAAATAATACAATGGACGCAACTCTCTTTGGGTCAGTTCCTAAATAATTAATATATATTGTTACTTGTGTTGCCAAGACAAGATTCCACGTTTGTGCATTTTGGACTATTTCTCGATTC